ACCTCTGATTCGGATTCGTTCCATTTCATGGTCAAACAACCTTGAAATAAACATCAACAAACTCACCCAGCCAAATGTGCAACTCCAATGCAACAACAAGTATGATTGAGCAGGGTATTGTTGTTCGATGTCATTCTGGGTCTTTCATTTCGATCGGTTTGAAGAAAAAACGGCAAATCATGCCAGATCAAGAAATTCATCGGTCGCTTTGAAGCCTTCTGTATGTGAAAAAGAATATCTTGTGCGACTCGCAATTCCTCCAGACGGTCGAAAAAAGATCTGACAAGGAAAACATGCAAAAGGCCAAGTAGTTTGGAAGAAGACTCATTTTCAAGTACCGGTTTTGTGGATTGTCTTGCTTCGTCTGGCTTGTGTTGGTTTCCATTGGTTTCAGTTTACGGTGCCGGATTATATAGCTGCTTCAGCCTAGAAGAGGTGATCTTGTCCCTGCCTTGGAACGAAAATAGAACTGTGGAACACTGTTAATAAGCATCATTAGGCTGCCTGCCAATGCGGGCTCGAGCTGGTGGCCGGCGGCATGCCGAAGGCTGTAAATAAAGGGACATCAGCTGGCTGCGGATCTACAAACATGGACTCGAGCACATCTTTATTTCCCCCAAAAGCAGTCAACGGTAAAAGCAAGTGGGAAGTGGGGGCCCTTTCCAACTGAACAACTTTCGATGACAAGTGTGGAAAGATGGCTCGTCCTGTTTTAAAGTTGATAGTGGCCTCCTGATCATAAAGCCACTTCGCGGACAACAAAAACGGAGTCCCATCAGGGACTACGTGAATGTCCAACTGCTGATCATGGCCAAGGATGCCTGTGTTCACTTTGGCAAGTCCAAGAGCTGCACTTGTTTGGGCGTTTCCGAACACGAACGTCTTCTGCAAGTCACGATCGATACTAATCTCAGCGTCCGGATCAAATCCCAGGTTTTGCAGCTCATCATGGTACTCTTGCAGCTGGAAGTCACCCACAATGGATTCCGATGCGCCACAATCAATGACGGCCTTGCAGCGGGTGACATCAATGGAGTTGGACGCAATCAGCGAGTGGTCAGCTTCAATGTCTTTGTCTTCCACGGTGGTCACCACCATGACTGAGGACTCCAAGTTGAAGCAATGGTCAAGGTCCTCTTCCAGGAGCCAGGGATTGAGTTGCTCATCCTCATCGAGAATAGGACACTTTTCTCCCACGCCATCAAGGCACCATCCCACAAAACCAACAGAACCACCGAGGTCAGAGTTGGGTCGACGTTGAGTCGTCTGACGGCAATCACGGGCCTTGTGTCCAATCTTTCCACAGCGCATGCATTTGCCAGAAAACTGGACATGTGGTCCAGCAGTGCCGGAACCAGTCAAAGTGGTAGATCTCGCCCCAGAGCGGGATGAGCGAGTGGGAAAGAAACCACGGTTGGTCCTGGCTTTCACCAGGGCCTGTCGAGCTTCCTTGTATTTCATCTTCTGGAAGGCTGCCAAGACTTCAGGGCTTGTCTCATCATCCATCCACTCTTCTCCCATGGCCTCATAGACCTCATCAGCATCTTCTCCATCATTGGGCTCATTGTCTTCATCGTTGACCAGTGTGGCCGCATGAACGGCCTGTTCAGGACCCTCATCCACCATCATAATCTTGGTGGAACCAAGACGCTTCTTCTTCTCCATGTCTTTGGTCATCAGAGAGTCCCCACTCCAAAGCTTGCGCATGGCACCATAGACCTCCTCAAGCTTGTACCCGTCTGCCACGGATTTGATCGTGGCAATGTCACTGGGTTCCAGTCGGAGGATGATTGAGGAGGAACCATCCATAGATCTCGGAGGGGACAGTAGCACTTGATCCAACCTCCTTGAGTGCTTTGTTCACCTCCCGGATGTACACCTCATGTCGGATCTCAAAATCCGACCAGGTTTCACCCTCAGTCCGTGCAACCTTGGAGGACTGAAAGTAAGCACTCAGGGCATCACCCAAAGTGTCCACCTTCAAGCGCCCACGTTTTTTCTCCAAAAAGTCGAGCATGTACTGGACACCTGATTCACCTTTCAACTTTGAGCGATCGATTTCCGTCACTGAGTCCCACGCTCGGCCAGTCAGATTTCTAACAAGTCGTGGGGCTAATCTCTCGAGATCGTCCTTGTTGG